AGAAATGGGGAACAAGCCAGAGGTACAGGGGGTGAGAGGATTCACCAGAAACAGTGGGGAGCAGAACAGGCAGACCTATTAAAATACACTGCTGAGGGGAGCAGCAGGCAAGACAGGAGAGGTCGGCTGTGTCATGTGGGTTAGCTCCCTGGCCAGGGATTGAACTCATGCTGCAGTGGCTGGTGATAGCTTGATAGTGCTGAGACTTTAACCCCTGTACCACCAGGGAGACCTTGAAGAATGAAAATTTTATTTGGTGTTCTTCACCGAACAGCAACAGAAGTAAATGCTGTGTCCAGACTGTCACAAATCTCCACAGTCTGAAGTTTACTGGGTAGACAGATCCTCTTCTGATATGTTGTGGTTTTTTTTTTTTTTTTTAAGATTTGTTTATTTATTTATTTATACAAGAACTGGGTACAGTCAGAAGCACGGGAGGGTGAGAGAATTCACCAGAGCCAGAGTGGGGAGCAGAGCAGGCAGAAGGACCAAAGCACACTGCTGAGGGGAGCAGCGGGCAGCAGGAGAGGTCTATGCGCCATGTAGGACCCTCCTCCGGTGGCCGGGGAGCAGCTGGGGATCGAACTGGTGCTGCAGAGGCTGCGGGCAGCTTCACAACCCAGCGCTCAACCGCTGCACCACCAGGGAGGCCCTGATACGTTGTTCTAAGAATGCTAGCTGAGTCACACGAGAGACTTCATTCAGCTAATAACTAACTATTGAGATGGGCAACGTGTTATGAGAAATACCAAGCTATGTAGAACATTTACACAGACGCTAAAGAAACAAGATCTAATTACCAGAAAAATCTGGTGGCTTTTCTCAAGAATATTTTCACAGGTTGAATTTTAGGTCAATTCTTCATAGAAATTAGGTATATGGTGGGGGCTACAGAGAACACAGAGTAGAGTGTAGATGATTTTCATTTGTAGGAAAGTAGTTATGGGATCTAGAATCATAAATTGCTTTATTTTTCATAAATATGAAAGGCATGGTTTAATCTTAAAAGATTTTCCTTGTAATACATTTATTGACCATAAGCTTATTTACATGAGAATGTAGAAGTACCTGCCAATTTGTAAATGTTCATGCTCAGATTGACTCTTTCTGTTACATAAAATCTTTGTATAAGGACAAGATTTATGTTTGAAGATTTGATTGTAGTGTTATAATTTAGTGAAAAATTGGAAACCAAACTTTTCGAATGTTTCTTAAAAAGGACCATCAGATACAGCAAAGTAACTGTCAGATAAAGGAACGTACGATGTGGTTATTTTATTCTCATAGCAGAAACAAAATGAAAGTTGCAAAATGTCTTAAATGCGCATTAGACAGGTGTGTGCAGATGAGACATTTTCCATTCACTGTTCTAGTAATCTGTTGTCATCCTTACTCAAATTAAATTGCAATGAACTATCTCTGATGCTCATTTAAGCACGCTGATAAGTCAAAGGTTTAAGCTTTGCCAACAATAAATGAGAAATTTTTTTCAACTCATACGAAGTTAAATCAAGGCTGATTTAAAGCAGCGTGATATGCCAGGGAAGGTCCTTGAACGAGAGGTCTATAACGCTTTTTTCTTAGACTTCTTGGCCTCTCTATGTATTTTAAGGTACATCAATACCTATGGAAACAGGGTACATCCTGTTCTGATTTTATGTGCTTTGTTGTGTTTGTGTGAAAATGGCTTAAGAAGCCTAAGTTTGAAAAGTGACTCCAATAGCAGTCAGTGTGCAACCTTGGGGCAGCAAGTGACTTAATCTCTGACATGGGAATAGTCTTCATCAACTGACTCAGTTATGGGGTGTGAATGAGGTAACGCACAACACCTCACAGAGCATACTCACAGACTGATCTCACCACGGAGGATTGCTGTGTATGCTGTCCTGTCATCACAGTAACCTTACTGGTATGCTCTTTACCCACATCCCACTACTCTTGTGAATACCGAAAGGTAGAATTCAAATGTTATGTGAATGTCTTAATTCAAATTCCACCATTCTATGTGAACTGCATGGGAAGCTTTTTGCATGGTAACTAAAAATGTTTAGGATCTTTGAAACAGCAGTTTTATGCAATAAATATTATTTGTAATCTAACAAATGCAAACTAGAAACACATACACATGAAAATAAGATAAAACAATTTTGGTGTATCCACTGAAGGAATATTTAAGTTTTAACTAATTCATATTTCCTGGTGAAACATCTTTACCTGTCCTTTCTAGTTTCTCACATCTCCTTTTCATTTGGGTTCTTGTCATTTTTGCTGAACATTTGGCTTGAAAGAATTAAAACTACTTGAGCAAGGTACTTTATTTGGTTAATTAGTTGACTGTGGACTTATTTGGTCAACATAAGTTTTTCTGATTGATTTTTTAAAAAGATTTATTTATGCATACAAGAATTGAGGTAAAGGCCAGAGGTGTGAGGGGTGGTGGTGAGAGGATTCACAGAGACAGAGTAGGGAACAGAACAGGCAGACTGACTGAAGGACACTGCTGAGGGGAGCAGCGGGCGAGTCAGGAGAGGTCTGCTGCATCATGTGGGTAGCTCCCTGGCCAGGGATCGAACTCTTGCTACAGTGGCTGCAGACAGCTTCATAGGTTGTGTCTTAACCCCTTGCGCCACCAGGGAGGCTCTTTGTGATTAATTTTGATAACTCCTGAGTAAGTCTTTTGACCTTATTAGATTTATTGGCACATTACTATACCTAAAATTTTTTTTAGTATTATCTCCCTTTTCTCATTTTCATTTAATTGGCAAATAGCCAAAAGATTTTCTTTTATTTCAAGAACCAGTCCTTTTGTCATTTCTACATTCTGGTATAGTCATATTGAGAAATGGAATGGTTGAGTCATCAACAAAGGGGCTTCTGCTGTTGACCTTACACCTCCCTATATACCGGGGCACCTCATGCTCTGTGGTCTGTGCCTCTACTCTGGCCTTACAGGGAGAAGATGGAGCCATTGATGCCACTAGTAATTTCTGTGTGGTAGGAGTGCCGATGACACTGGGTGGATCAACATTAAGTAGTGGCACAGAATTTGTTTGTATATCCAGGAAAAAAAGAGCCCAGTGTTGCTGTTTTCTTTGACTAAAATGTTAAAAAAAGAACTGCCTAAAGGGCCTCCCGGTGGCGCAGTGGGTTGAGCGCAGCACTGTGAAGTGCTCTGCAGCGTGGGTTCAATTCCCAGCCCGCCAGGGAGAAACCCACATGGCGCGCAGACCTCTCCTGCCTCGCCCGCTGCTCCCCTCAGCAGTGTCTTCGGTCCTTCTGCCTGTTCTGCTCCCTGCTCTGTCTCTGGTGAATCCTTTCACCCTCCCGTGCCTCTGACTATCCCAGTTCTTGTATAAATAAATCTTTAAAAAGAAAAAAAAAAAACTGCCTGAAATGATCAAATTCTAAAGAGTTCTTAGTTCCTGAGACACTTGGGGGAAATAAAAACTTCAAGTTGGCATGTTTTCTGTTTGGCACCTTTTAAGAATTTGAGAAAAACCTTTACGTCCAAAAATTAGAGATTAGACCAAAGCTGTTGCCTTATGCAGTAGGAATCTATGAAGGTTCAAAAGAGAAATTGTGTGATGTGTTCCTTACCAAATAATTCATCTGTACATTTCTTAATGCAAAATATCTTTTACCATCTGTAGAAATGTTTAACTTCACTAGGTGTACTTTTAAACAAACCAAGCTAAACATAACATATATTTGTTTAATGTGGATAATCTTAAAATATTTCTTGGGTTATATAAGAAATCCCTGGAGTTCCTTGTTAATTTTGCTGTGAACCTAAAGCTTCTCTTTAAAAAATATTCTAAAAAACTTCTTGGTATGAATTTCCTAGAATTAACTTATCCTCAGAAGCAGGTTTGCCTCACTCTCAGAGGTGCACTACGGGAAAATGTGTGCTGCTTCTGCATCTCAGAAACCTCAGTTCACCCACTATATTACTAATCACGAAATGACCTATTTAGAAACTTGTGTGGAGATGGAAAATGAACAGGAATGAGGTATACAGATAAAACTCAAAATGTCTTTAAGACTTAGCCTTAAGATGTTTCCCAGCTTGTCCGCGCATTAGTTATGAAGGGAAGGGCAGCGATGGGAGGAGTGATTATATGGGAAAGTATCTTATGGCACTTTCATTCTCTAATCCTAGTCTGTGCTTGGGCATAAGCACTGAATGACAGTGGTCATATGCAATGAGCTTTACAAGTTTCTTCCCTTGAGAGTAGTTTATTATGTTTAAGAATTAAGCAGCAAGGGCCTCCCCGGTGGCGCAGCGGTTGAGCGCTGGGTTGCGAAGCCGCCCGCGGCCTCTGCGGCGCCGGTTCAATCCCCTGCTGCTCCCCGGCCACCAGAGAAGGGTCCCGCATGGTGCGCAGACCTCTCCTGCTGCCCGCTGCTCCCCTCAGCAGTGTACTTTGGTCCTTCTGCCTGCTCTGCTCCCCTGCTCTGGCTCTGGTGAATTCTCTCACCCTCCTGCGCTTCTGACTGTACCTAGTGCATGTATAAACAAAACAAACAAACAAATAAATAAGTAAAACATGCCTCTATTAAAAAAAAAAAAGAATTAAGCAGCAAAACAGGTGTGGAGTTGGTATCTTGAAAGCTGTTGTTTTCATTGAGTAGCCTAGAATTTGATTTACTTGTCAAGAATCTACCTTAGATATGGTGATAGGGGAATTAAGTTTCAATGCAATTTTGCCCCTCTATCCTCAGTACGTCTTCCACATGGCATTTACATATCCTTTAAACCTGTAACTTGGTGATATTCTAAAATTTAAGAAAACTGTGTAGAGAAAAGTGAAATTTTAAGTGCAAATGTTTTCAGTATTAGTAAGAGTTTCTCAGCAAACAAGGTAAAACTCAGATCTACTTACCATGGTGGTTTTCTCTAAAACCACCGTAATAGTCCTACTGTTTGAGAATAACTGTGCAAAACATTAAAAAAAAGCAGGGTTTGCTCAAATAAGCATATATGCCCTCTTTTCCACCAGCAATCAGAAACAGAGACTGTGCACCTGTTTATCCCAGCCCTCTCTGTCGGCGCCATTATCGGCAAGCAGGGGCAGCACATCAAACAGCTTTCTCGCTTTGCAGGAGCTTCTATTAAGGTATGTTCTCTGGAGCTCTCCTCACACTTTTATGTAAAGTCATAGAAACACGAGTCTTCTTGCCACTTTATAATCTAAATTGAAATTGGTGGTCTATTTGGGATTAAGTATGGGTGTGAAAGAAAACTCCACACAGCAGCAGCTTAAATGAAAATTCTCGCTTCAGAAGAAAATCTTCTGGAGGCCAACAATCCAAGGCCGGTGTGATGGTTCTGTGTGAAGGACTTACATTCCTTCTAAGTCATCTTCCCCAAGCATGACCTTGGGCCCCCATGGTTCCATGTACCAGCCACCAGTGCGCTAACGATCAAGTCTGTGCTCCAGTCTGTAGGAAAGGACCAAAAAATAAAATGAAATTGAAGGACAGCGCCTACTGGCTGTTACAGGATCTTTCTACGTATATCCCATTGCTCAAAACTGCTTCATAAGGCTAGACAGACCTGAAGGGGCAACAGGGAAATGTAGTCCACATGTAGTCAGCTAAACACTTTTTAAAGTTACGTGGCATTCTTGAAAAGGCAGATGGGATGGAGGGCTGGAGAAGAAATCACTGGTTTCTAGAGAAGTTGGAGGGATTTAATACAGTGAAGCAGCATAAAGAAGTCTTAAAGGGAGTTGGGACTTTTAATTTTGCTTATGGTGGTTATGCAACTATGCAGTAGTTACTAAGATTGGATTTTACTGTAAGTAAACTAAATTAAAAATCAAAACACAAGTCCTCCCTGGTGGCACAACGGGTTAAGTCTCAGCACTATCAAGCTATCACCAGCCAGTGCAGCTCAAGTTCAATACCCAGCCAGGACGCTAACCTACATGGCCTCTCCTTCTCGTCCACTGCTTCCCCTCAGCAGTGTGTTTCAGTATATCCACCTGTTCTGCTCCTCACTCTGTTTCTGGTGAATCTTCTCAATCCCCTGCACCTGTGGCCTACACCCCAACTCTTGTATACATGGGTAAATACCTTTTTTTAAAAAAAAGATTTATTTATACAAGCACTGGGTACAGTAAGAAGTGCGGGAGGGTGAGAGTATTTACCAGAGCCAGAGCGGGGAACAGAACAGGCAGACTGACAAAATACACTGCTGAGGGGAGCAGCGGGTGTGGCTGGAGAGGTCTGTTGCGCCATGTGGGACCCTTGCAGGCAAGCGGGGATCGAACCAGTGCTGCAGAGGCTGCGGGCAGCTTCGCAGCCCAGCGCTCAACCGCTGCGCCACCAAGGGAGGCCCTGCATGGGTAAATATCTTTTTAAAAAAATCAAAACACAGAAATAGCTCTCTCCTACACTCCTGTTGCAAAAGATAAATACATGAACAGACCAAATGGGTAAAAGAACCAGGATGTAGGAGCAAAGCGCCAAACACCTGCACTATCCTACTGGTTTCCTGATTAAGAGTCTAGTGGATTTGTTTGAGAAAAGCTACACTCAATGTTTCATGAACAAGAACTGGATATTTAGACATTATTCTTTTTGGGACTCTGGGGGGAACGGTGGTTTCTCTTCCCTTCATCTGTCTCTGCAATATTTCCCCAGTCTGGGATTTTTGTGTAATTTAATTTACTGTATAAAAATAGGAATGTACACGCTTATTTGCTTCTGCCAAATTAATGTTGGTTCATTGCATGTTACTCCAATGAGCATACTCTGGGGGGGTGGGGGGGGTGGCGCGGTGTTACTAATACTCATAGATTTATAAATCACAAAAAATGTATACAGGGATCCTTTTCTGGTTCATAAGCATGATGACTGGGTGTTCATGCCTTTGTGTGAGATGTGCCTCCTTAAATCTTGTTACAACACTGGTACATCGCCCTTCTGACTTGGGGCGGAGAATATTATATAAAAAGGTTTCAGCAACTTATATAGTATTAAAAAGCTGTGTCCTTTTCCATAAAAGTAGAGGTGGTATGGGGCAGTAGCCTTAAGACATAGTCAGAGGCTCTTAGTATTTCTTACACATACAGGAAGCCAACGAGCCCACTTTGAGCACCAATGGTTTGGTGATCAGCAACATGGGCAGTGGAGGGCAGGCCAGCTCTCCCTCTTGCTCCATTAGCTGCCTGGTGGGTAAAGTAAACACTACTTCTCCAGCTTTCAGTTTCCCCATCTGTCATCATCCCTTCAGGATGTCATAAGGATTAGCTGAGATTACATGTGGATTTTGACATTATTAGAGTCAGGCATGGAGTTGGTACACAGTGTGTATGAGAAAAGAGCTATGATTTATGAAATGAACCTACTATATTGATCAGTGCCTCTCCTCAACTTCCTTCCAGGCGGCTTTTTAGTCGACATCTCAGTCTGTCATTATTTACATAAATGTCAGGCTGCTTTGCATAATTTCTACCAGTGGCACCTGAAAGTGTATAACCGCTGATGGGTCTGTTACAGATCGCTCCAGCTGAAGCACCAGATGCTAAAGTGAGGATGGTGATTATCACTGGGCCACCAGAGGCTCAGTTCAAGGTAAGTGTTCTGGTGTGTGCACAGGTAATGAATGAGAGTGGAGAATGTTAATGCCTTTTCAGGAACTCTATAATCTGGCTTAAATATATATAACACTTAAGTAGAAATTCATAAGACTAAGAATAGAAAGCCCTAAGGCTAAAGCTTACAAACCTACCTGGTTAATAAACCTTGAAAACCTTGGTCCCAAACTTTTCTTCCTGTACCCTGAGAGGCCTTAACATTGAATTAAAAGGCACCCTTTTCCTCTCACCCTTGGATTAAATGTACCTTAGTCTCTTCACAAATTTAATCCCCTGTATTTTAGAGGTAGAAATGGCAGGAACTCTTATGGCACTTGTCATGGTATGAAACACTGCTCAGGTTTATTGGGGTTTGGGATCTTTGGGGCTGGAATGCCTGCCTCTGTATCCTGAGAGGTGGTGCAGCAGGGACCAAAAAGATCAAGAACTCAGCAGCCATGCTCTATTCAAATCCCAGCTCTGCCATTTAGCAGCTGTGTTACCTTGAACAAATTATTTAACCATTCTCTGAGTAGTTCCTCATCAATAAGTTACCTGCAAGGTTTAGCAAGAATATTAGGATGAAGCCCCATATAGAGTGCTTGGAATATACAGAGAACACAAAAATGTTCTGCTTGCTGAAGTTCAGTAGATTGTAGGTGAATCATACTGTGACACATAAATTGGAGTAAATGGTTTGACAATAAAACTTAACAGGAGTGTCCTATTTGTCACAGGGACAGCAACTACTAAATTTTGATGGAACTAATTTACCAAAAGCCAGTATCTTGGTCCTGCCACTTAGTAGCTGTGTAACAGGACAGCTCTTGAACCCTAAGCCTTAGCTCTAAAATACATGTTAGCAACAATGCCTACCTCTGCTCTCCCTTTTTAAACCTTTACTTTCTTTGATCTCTATTTTTCATGGGGCTAAGCTTTTCCCTCTTCATTCACTGTAAGAACAGGAAACAAAAGAAGTGCTTTGAAAGGTAGGTACACTTGGCTAGGTGCTCATACTCGAAATTTACTCCCTCACATTAGCTTTGTGGTGTAGGTAGTTCAAATCACAATTCAGAAATGTTGAAAACTGCTTGCTATCTTCAAACTTCAGGGTCACTTTTTATTTGTAATCCTAAAATGGAAGCATCAGTTACCAAAACTTCTGCATGGAGCTGAATTCTGTTTTATAAATGGGATCATCCTGTGATTCTTATGTTTGCATGCTGAAAAATTCAAAATTTGTTTCCCTAGATCCTCCAGTACTTGTGTTACTACTCAGTTTTCTTGAATGGAACAGTTATGCTTAACTACCTTTATGTAATCAATTATCTTCAGGCTCAGGGAAGAATTTATGGAAAAATTAAAGAAGAAAATTTTGTTAGTCCTAAAGAAGAGGTGAAACTTGAAGCTCATATCAGAGTGCCATCCTTTGCTGCCGGCAGAGTTATTGGAAAAGGAGGCAAAACGGCAAGTACTTCAGCAAAACCTGTGCAGTGGTATGAAAGGGAAAGCATTGAAAGGTACTTAGGAGTTCCAAGTCCCTGAATTTTGGCTAATTTATAAAAAGCAGAACCATCTTGTCAAAGGTTTGGAGAAGACTGCCTTTTGTTCCTCTTGAGTGTTGGTGTCGATTAGTGAAAGTTATGCCTCTCAGACTATTTTCTGGGAGAGGACTGTACCTCATTTAGAAGGGGCATTTACCATTTTTCTGCTATTCAGTTTGTTGTTTTTATTTCACAATTAATGACATGAAAAGAAAAACTTTCATATATACGTTCTATACCTGGAAAAGAAAAGTTTCCAGTTTAACACATACTTCCTGTGGTGTTTTCAAACCTATTTACAGTTTTGAAATGACTGAGAAGCATATATGATAGAATCAGACTTTCAGGGATTGAAACTGGTTCTGCACTCACTTGTGTAACTTTTGGTAAAGTCATTTTCTTTAGATAAGCCTTAGATTTAACCATATCAAAATGGGAATATTACTAAAAAATAACCTGATAGAATTATTAGTGTATTAAATGAAATGAGTAAAGCCATAGCTCAGTGCCTGGCACACAGTAAGTGTTCAGGAAATGGTAGCTTTTAAAAACAACATGATTTGCACTTATCTTTTTCAGGTGAATGAGCTCCAGAATTTGTCAAGTGCAGAAGTTGTTGTCCCTCGTGATCAGACACCTGATGAGAATGACCAAGTGGTTGTCAAAATAACTGGTCACTTCTATGCTTGCCAGGCAAGTGGGCTTTATCTAATGTGATCAGTCAGCTTTACTGCTGCTTTCTTAAATGGAATCAATTCTTCTCTGGGTACCTCTACTCCATGTAAATATTTAAGGTCATCTGGTACTTAACACTTATTTTTTTTAAAGATTTATTTATTTATTTATACGACCACTGGGTACAGTCAGAAGCGCGGGAGGGTGAAAAATCCACCAGACCCAGAGCGGGGAGCAGAGCAGGCAGAAGGACCTAAGTACACTGCTGAGGAGAGCAGCGGGCGGCAGGAGAGGTTTGCGCACCATGTGGGACCCTCCTCCAGTGGCCGGGGAGCAGCCGGGGATCGAACCAGCGCAGCAGAGGCTGCGGGCAGCTTCACAACCCAGTGCTCAACCGCTGCGCCCCCGGGGAGGCCCCTTAACACTTTTAAATCCCCCTGTTAATAGGTAATTTCAGAGACTTTACTAGCAAACTAAATTAGTACATATATATTTAATCTTAAATTCCTAATTGAAGTTGTTGAAATGGAAGAGTAAAATAACTTTTAGTAACTTTTGATGGGGTAGAAATTTCAAAGCTTGTCTCCTTTGCAGGTTGCCCAGAGAAAAATTCAGGAAATACTGACTCAGGTAAAGCAGCACCAGCAGCAGAAAGCTCTACAAAGTGGCCCACCTCAGTCAAGACGGAAGTAAAGGCTCAGGAAACAGCCCACCACAGAGGCAGATGCCAAACCAAAGACAGATTGCTTAACCAACAGATGGGTGCTGAACCCCTATCCAGATTCACATGCACAACTTTTTACCTAGCCAGTTGTTTCTGAGGACCAGGCAAGTTTTGAACTCCTGTCTCTGTGAGAATGTATACTTTATGCTCTCTGAAATGTATGACACCCAGCTTTAAAAAAGGGGGGGGGGAGAGGGGAGAGGAACTCTGCACTTCCCTTTTGCTGTATTCTCAGTATAATAGTCTAATATTTCTTAATATTCACCCATAATGCCAGAAATTGACTTAATGATGCATTCACTAAATTCATAAAAATAGATTGCTCCTAAGTCCAATTGGTAAAATTGGATCAGAATAAAATTATTACAGAACTTAAACTATTAGCATAGAAAATTGTTCTCAGTTTTATCTAACACTAACATGAATAACCTAAGGGAAGTGCTAAATAGTGTTGGCAGGGGTATTAAATGTGCATTTTTACTCAACTACCTCAGGTATTCAGTAATGCAATGAAAGCAAAAGTGTGGTTTTTTGGTTTTTTTTTTTTTTTTTTTGAAAATTTTATATACTTTATAAAGAAAAAAGTCCAACTGTTTTTTAAAAAAAAAAACAAATTAATCAGCTAACAGGCGACTAACAAAAGAATTTTACTTCTGGCTGGTTGACAATAAAGCTAGAAAATTAATTTCAGGTTTTTTGAGGCTTTTGACAGTTATTAGTTTGAAAACCCAGTAATTGGAGCAGTGCCTATACTTGGAGAGCAGCGATAACATTAATTTTTTCGTTTATGGTAGGGTAAATGTTTGATGGTACTAACAGAGCAAAGCGGTTGCAGGAGGTTTTGGAACAGCGAGTTTGAATGGCTTCAGGAGACTTCAGTTTTCTTGTTTGGCTACATATTTGAATACATAAATGCTTTGTGCTTTTGACTATCACTACCTAAAGAAAGTGCATCAATGAAGGGATGCAGACAGCCCTGTGGACTTTAAACTGATTGGTAAAAAGTAAGCTTCCGCTTAGCTTGTTTTGCCAATACACTTACGACTGGTTGATCAACACAGTGTGCAGACCCCAAAATTGCTTTGTGAAGATCAATGGGCAGTCAGACGGTGTGGCAGTGTTTAAAGGCAATAAACAGCTATATTCCCATGTGCTGGGCACTGTCATGAAACAAATTAAGAAAGATGAAAGGCCACCCAAACTACTACATAGAATAGAGCAGGATTTCTGTATTCTCTAAAACCAGTTATTTGAAGATAAGTCAAAAGGTAGAGAATACAAGGAAACAATTTTTGGGCATAATTTGAATGACTGTAAAACAACCTTTGATACTGAATTCATTTGCCTATTCCTTATCTTGATAGTAAAGCCCGGTATGTACAATTGTGTGGGTGTGGGTGGTCACCAAGGCCACGCTCCTCTCTGAATTGTCTGTGTTGCTTTTGTTCATAAAATAATCGTATTACATGACCTGAAGGGATATAATAACCCTTTAAAAACTCATGTCTCATTCGTATTTCAAGAATTTCTACGCAGACTAAAGTTTTTTTTGAAAATCAGCATATCAATTACATTTTGAAAATGATTTGAAATATTTTCAGAAAACCAGTTTATTTTGTAGTTTTAGCCAAAAAGTGCCCTTTTTGTCACTGAATTCATTTATTGTATGAAAAAAAAACTTAAAAAAATCATGAACTGGCTTTCTGGTTGGATTTCAAGTTAGATGTGCTTATTATTAAGACCAGAGTTCTTCCTCAGTGTCCTCAGTGTTTGATTTTTCCAATATTTGGTGTGGTGTTTTGTTTTCTACATATATTCAGATAGGTGCTCGTTTATATTTGCTGGTTTAAATTCTGTCATACTTCATGTCTAGCCTTTTAGTGTGGCAAATCATGTTTTACTTTCAATTAAACATTGGTAATCTGGGGTATCTGGTTAATAGTTAAATTCTGTAATTGAGTTTTGTACTCACCACATGGATCATTTCTCATCTGTAACGCGTCCCAAACGTATCTTCATTTCCAGATACCTTGATGCAAAATAAAGTTTTTCATCATTAGGTGCAGCTTGGTGTGTATTATTGTTATAGCTTTGGTTAAATTATAATCAGCATCTACTGTTAAATTATTTTCTCCATTCCAAGTTATGTACTGTGAACGCTGGTAATACTGTTGCATAGCAGTTTACTAACTTCCCCTCCCATCCTGCAGTAGCATGACTTACCTGTACAACCTTAGGATGCTTGAAACTTCTCTACATATTTTTCTTCTGTCATTTGGAGAATCCTGGAACAGTTTAAGTCCTGTTTTTATATAGTAAATATTTTGGTATTAACAGGACCAATGGGATGGTTATGTGTTTTATGTTTAAGTAAGCATAGGAGCCAATGTTAAGGATATAATTAAAATTTCAGTTTAAAATACTGATTCTTGATGTGAGAATTAGTTCACTTACGTACACTCTCCACATGTCTGCATGAATGCCTGTGTTTTAACAGCAACCTAGCCAATTATTTAAGAAGCAACTCAATCCAAATCTGAAATCACTAATGCAGTTCATGTCATTTTATTTACATTTGAACTCTACTGGAGTTAGGGATGAAGTGTCCTCTTCCATTCCAAGGATGAAGTCTTCAGGTAATGTCTCAGTTGTTATCTGAGCTAACTGATCATCATAAGAACGTAGGGTCCATAATTTCTCTAATTCATAGGTTTCTCTTGTTTCTGGAAGCATCAAATGAATCACCATGCTGCCTATCAAGGACAGATAAAGAATTACAGTGAAGAAACAGTTCATGTGCTTTGTGATCTCAACTCAGTACATATATTACCCTCGTGGTATAACTGTAGGACCTAGTGCAATGGTTCTCATTGTGATCCCCTGGAAACTTGTTAGCAATGCAAATTGTGAACCCCTTCCAGCCAAAATACCACAGAAGTGATGTTCCATACCAATAAAATGTATATACCCTTATCTCAGGGTTCCTCTTTAAGAACTTGGTGTGCAGGTGTCACCTAGCCACATGCTGCCCTATAGAAACTGGGGTTCAGAGAAGCTGTTACAAAATGTTAATGCTTTTGTTTAAGTAATAAACAGCCCCTCATCTTTAACCCCAGAATAGACTTGTGTTCTTGTAATACACTCTGTGACACTGGCTGGCTAACTTGTTAGCTTTCAAGTTTAGATAAAATCTCAAGTTCCTCACAGTTCTTAAGTAACTCTTGTAATTATTAAGTACTTTGTAGGGAAACACTTTGAAACCGTATATACTAATAACCAAATTTGTCTTCTCACACCACTATATCCTACTTACCATCTTTCTGGCCTGTGTGGCTCTATACTCCACACAGTAATTAGACCTTCTGGGAATGCATTATCTAGTATACTTCGGTTAGGTGAGGATTTTGCAGGTAAGACCACCTGAGTTATAGAATTAAAGCATTTTAAACACATTTCAAAAATTTTCCATGGAAATAATCTGATTGTGTTCCTTTTGCAACTGAAAATAGTTCAACATTAGTGCCAAAATTACTTACCAAAGTCCACACAGAGCCAGTCATCAGTGTCTTTCCCTTCAATCTTAACATGAGGCTCACTTTTACATTTCAGGTATTTGTACTGTAAAAAGCCAGAGCATATAGTAAAGTGAGAAAGGATGGAACTAGTCTCTCACTGAGGGTGGTCTGTGGGTAATTTTCTTGGCATTAATTTGGGAACTAACTTATTCATAGCTCTGTCTTGGCCCATCATTAAAAATAGGGAAAATATCCCACTTCCTACACTTTTCTGAGCTCCGCCCAAACCCTTCTAACAGGGCTACACCACTCCTTTACCAAGGTGCCTCTGAACCTCTCACTTAACATCAGGTCCTCACCTATAGATATAATCCTTTCGGGCCTCCCCAGTGGCGCAGCAGTTGAGCACTGGGTTGTGAAGATGCCCACAGTCTCTACAGCGCCGGTTCGATCCCCAGCCGCTGGGCGAGGGTCCCACATGGCGCACAGACCTCTCCTGCCGCCCGCTGCTCCCCTCAGCAGTGTACTTCGTCACTCTGCCTGTTCTATCCTCCGCTCTGACTCTGGTGAATTCTCTCAATCTTCCATGCCTCTGACTGTACCCAGTGCTTGTATAAATAAATAAATAAATCTTTAAAAAAAAAAAAAAAAAGGGTAGAAATCCTACTTCATCTAAAACAGTAGGACCCCAATTTAGATATAATCCTTTCTGTCCATCCTGGTTTGCCTTCACTCCCAGAGGAGTGCAACTTGTTTTCACTGCAACTTGTTTTAAGGCTAGGTCTTCTCAATTCTATAGGTGCCATCTCATCTACTTTCATGACAATGGTAATGGAACGTTTATCATCCCACATATCCCCAATAAATTCATATCAGACAAATGACTTGAAGCAAAAAACTATTACAAGAGACAAAGGACATATGCTGATAAAAAGGATCAAGTCACTAAAATAGTATTATAAACACACCAAACAACAGAGCTAACCATGAAACAAACACCAACAGAATTAAAGGTAGAATTAGACAACAACAAGATAATGTGAGACTCAATAACCCATTTTCAATGATGGAATAGAACCAGACAGAAAAGAATAGAGGTCTTCAACACTATCCTCCAATTGGAACTTAAATTCTATATATTTTTTTTTTAAGTGCAAATGGAACATTCTCCAGGAGAGTTCACATTAGGCCACACACAAAAATTTTAATTTTTATGTGGTGGAGACACAAAGTATATTTTCTGATCACAATGAAATTAAACTAGAAATCAACAGAATGGGGAAATCCACCAACATGTAAATTTAAACAATACTTTAAAAAAAGTGTCAAGAGATCACAAGGTAAATTAGAAATAATAACTGGAAACTTAATTATAATCCTAACGGCATAAAGTTCCCTAATCAATAACCTAAGTTTGCACCACAAAGAACCAGAAAATGAATAGAATTTTAGTAGGAGGAAGGACATAATGATCAGGAAACCAAAACAGACAAAGTTGATGAAATCAAGATTTGGACCTATTCATTAATATGGGGACTGACTGGTTATCAAAAAAATCCCAGGGGCCTCTCTGGTGGCACAGGGGTTAGTCTCAACACTATCAAGCTACTGCCAGCCACTGCAACTTGAGTTGAATGTCTGCCACGAAGCTAACTCACATGGCACAGCAGACCTCTCCTGTCTCTCCCACTGCTCCCCTCAGCAGTGTATTTCAGTAGATCCACTTGTTCTGCTCCCCACACTCTCTAGTGAATCCTCTCACCCACACCCCAGTTCTTATATGCATGAGTAAAAATAAATCTAAAAAAACAAACAAACAAACAAAAAAAAAAACCCAAAAAAACTCCCAATAAAGAAAAGCCCTGGACCAGGGTGAGGAATTCTACTAATGATTTAAAATCAGGAGTCCTGACTCAAACTTTTCCAAAATTGAAGAGAACACATTATGTAACACCTATAAGACTAACATTACTCTGAGAGCCAAATCAGAGACATTGCAAGAGACAGCCCAATATAATTAATGAAAACTGATGCAAAATCAAAATACTAGCAAACTAAATTCAATACCATATTAAAAAGGTTATACACCACAATGGAGTGTGATTAACCTCTGGGATGTAAGGTTGGCTCAACATAAAACTGTACTAAACCAAATCACATGATCATCTTAAATTGATGCAGAAAAAGCATTTGACAAAGCGCAACACCCTTTCACAATAAAAACATTCAAGCTAAGAATACTAAGAAATATACCTCAAGATAACAAAGGCCATATATGAAAAGGCCCTCAGCAAACATTATACTCAACAATCTAATATTGTAAGTTTTGCTTTCCAAAAAAAAAGACAAGAATGTCCACTTTTGCCTCATATTTAATATAGTACTGTAAGTCCCAGCCAGGGCAATTAGGCAAGAAGAAATGAATACCCAAATTGGAAAGGAAGAAGTAAAACTGTCCATTTACAGATGATAGGATCTTACATATAGAAAAGCCTAGACTCCATCAAAAAACTGTTAAATGAATTCAGTCAAGTTGCAGGATACAAAAGCAACATATAGAAATCAGCTGCAATTTATTACACAGGATATAACTCAAAGAGATGGCAGAGCTGCACAGAGCAAGGTAGGGGGGGAAAGGCACAGTGCTTCTATGCTCTCTCTGTTGGGGTATAGTTAATCAAGTTAAAATCTAGCCTCTACTTATTGCTCAACAGAACACTGTAGGGAGACAAAGTAGATAAGGAAATCTGTTAAAACAGCCATGGGGGAGGGCCTTCCTGGTGGCACAGGGATTACAGAGACAGCACTGTCAAGCTATTGCCAGCCACTGCAGCACAAGTACGATCCCCTGCCAGCTAGGGAGCTACCAACATAGTGTGGCAGACCTCTCCTGTTGGGCCCGCTGCCCTCCTCAGCAGTGTATTTCAGTAGATCTGCCTGTTCTGCTCCCCACTCTCCCTGGTGAATCCTCTCACCATCCCCAACTTCCACCTCTGGCTTACAACCCAGTTCTTGTATGCATAAAAAAATAAATCTTAAAAAAAAAGTCATGGGAACCAGACCACAGGGCTAACATGACTTAGGGCTATCAGAATTCCAGGGAATGTGGAAACAGCAAACAGAACCCTGACACCACCTGAGGGGAAGGTTGACTTGAAACCTGATGTTCTGAGATAACAATCAGCAAGAATCAATTCCCCCACTCAGGAAAGACCATGAAAATAGGACATAAAAAGAGCCCAAATCCTTCCTAGGGGCAAGATGACCTCTTCCATCTTGCCCACTGCTTCTCTTAACAGTATATTTACTTCAATAAATAATCAAAAACGTATTCTACCTTTTCTGTTCTCCACTATGTCTCTGGTGAATTATTTCACCCCTGTGTCTGCAGCCTCACCCCAACACTTTTCCTCACTACATTTTGGTGGACCATATGGGGAGAAACCTGGTATGAGAACCCTTTGTTCCTTCTCTCAGTTTCTCCGGTGGACTGCAGGGAAACCTCAACTGAATATTGCGAACAGCCCAATTATACCAAAAGGTTCCAGGAGCCCAGCTGGGTGAAGAACAGCCCTTCCCCCCGCCCTTTTTTTTTTTTTTTTTAAAGATTGATTTATTTATTTACACAAGCACTGGGTACAGTCAGAAGCGCGGGAGGGTGAGAAAGTTCACCAGAGCCAGAGCTGGGAGCAGAGCAGGCAGAAGGACCGAAGTACACTGCTGAGGGGAGCAGCGGGCGGCAGGAGAGGTCTGCGCACCATGCGGGACCCTCCTCCAGTGGCCGGGGAGCAGCCGGGGATCAAACTGGCGCTGCAGAGGCTGCGGGCAGCTTCGCAGCCCAGCGCTCAGCCGCTGCACCATCGGGGAGGCCCCCTTTTTCCCTTTAAAACCTCAGGTAGGCTGTTTGGCTCATGGACAACAGAAGGGGTCTGGCTTGGGCACCCCCAAATGTCCCTGAACAATTCCCACATGCAGGACAGTCCACCAAGCTGGGTCAGTGGCAGTTTGACTTTCCTCCTCCTTGCCTTTCCCTCTGTGGTCAGGCATCGAGTCTGCTTGCTCCAGCTACTGAAACACTGCTTGACAAGTGGAGAGTCATCCCGGACCCAACACCCTACACCCAATGGAGAAGGCTGTGATGGCAACTCAGGCCCCTAGAGTTCCTGAGGGAAGCCCCCAGACTGCAGGGTGACTCAGAACCCTAGTTCCTGGTGGAACGGCACCCAGTTTGTAGGGCACCTTGGACTCCTAGGTCCTGGGAAGGAAGCCCCAGGACACAGGGACATCTACCAGGCATTGCAAGTGCTTTCCCTTTGTTGCTACAGGCTGCCCTTGGGCTGCATTCTTAAAAACTGGAGCAAATTTGACCCTCAGACTCTAAAGAAAATACATCTAATTTTTCTTCACAACACTACCTGGCCCCAATACAAACTAGAGGACCAAGAAATCTGGCCTATAAACGGCACCCTTAGCTATAACATCATCCTCCAATCAGACCTCTTTTACTGTGGCCAAAGCAAATGTCCAGAGTTGTCCAGGCGTTTAAGGACTTCAGCCAAGGTAGGGACCTCTGCAAATCTTGCCAGATGTGCTCGGCAAAGTTTTCTGGCCCTACACTGAGCTTGACATCCTAGATGACCCCTCTCTTTTGGGGGCTCCTCCACACCAGCAGGCACCACATCTCCCATCAGCCTGCCAGGCTCTTCTTTCCCACCAGAAGGGGCCACTATGGGACAACCACCATGACCCCCTAATCTCCGTCCTTCTGGGCCTGGAGCCTCACCTGCTTATAACCCTCTTTCTCCAGCCTATACTTGGAGTGGGACACTCTATAGCCCCACTTAAGAATCTTCCGCAAAGGAAGAATCTAAAATCCTCCGTTTATGGGAAGTTGCAAATGAGGAAATGGACATCGGAGTCCATGTGTCCTTTCCCATGTTGATCTTGCCCAGTCTGAGGACAAGCTAGGGAGCTGCTCTCAGGACCCTACCCATTTTACTGAGGAATTTAATGGACTTACTTTAGTCTTTGATTTAACCTGGTTGTTAAATATGTATCATTCTGACCACTTCCTGTACAGAGTCTGGACACAGGCTGAGGCAC